GTATTAATGTTTTTTTTTTTTTTTTCCAAAAATTTGCACCTTGGTCTATCCAGGTGCATCTTACCTTGCACCTTGGGTGCTACAAGGTCCTTGCACTTTTTCTTTAACCTCTCATTTTTTGGTGGTGATGATGATGATATATGGGTGTTATGGTGTGAAAGAAATAGTAGAATCTTTGAAGGGAGACAGAGTACAAAAGAAGAGGTCTTGGTTGGCAAATCACTCTCTATTCAAAAATAGACACACAATTCTTTATTTTTGATCAAGATTTTCTCTTTGTAAGGAATTCATAGTTTGTTTTTAGTTTTGGGTTGGATGTAATTGGGTAAACTGGATCTTCCCCTAGTACAGATTCTCTTTGTACAGGGGTTCTCGTGTATTTTGATTCTGGATTTTAATGAATTGCTTTACCTTACAGTTCCAAAAAAAAAAAAGATAAATGGGTGATATATTCATGAAAGAAAAAGAAGCACGGGGGACTGAGGTATAAAAGACATGGTTAATGAGCTAGCATTATGCCCAGAAATTACAAATATCAACTAAGAGAGTATGATTCATTGAAAATGAAATTTGCCCAATAGTTGCTGCTGAAGTGATGCGGATGTGAATCCATGAAAATCTTTTAGTGAGGAGCACCATTGGATCAAATTTCTCTTTATTCTTCCTTTCAGCACTTATCTTGGGGCACATTTACATTTGAAAATCCTACTGTTCCTTCTTCCACATGCACCAACATAATACAGTACTCTTCAAAAAAAAAAAAAAAAATGCAACTACCTTTCTAATAGCCCCTTCCTCACCAGGAACACTATAGCAATGGAAGATCTCTTGGGGTCACCCAGCTCCTTTGGAATAGCTTCAGAAAGTGGGTCCAGATGGCATGGGTCTCTTTGCATAGTTTTAAAAGATGATCAACAGATTCCAGTTCGTCGTGACAAAGGCTGCAGACATTGTCCACCATAAAGCCTTTAATATTATATGGTGTGTAGTGAGGATTCTATTCGGCACTGCTGACTACTTGAAAGAGATCTTGGAGGGGATGTGGGTCTCCCAAATATTTTCCACAGAAAGAACTCATCAGTTGCATCTCTTGCTTTTAAAACAATGGGTTTCCTCATAGGTTATCATATGGGATCATTTTATATTAGTCTATGGCCATATACCAAGAGCCAAGAAAGTAAGGAAAATTTTTCTTCAGTTCCTTGTAGGATTCCTTGTTTTCAAAACATTTGTTTTTTCTTCCTAAACAGCCATATACCATTGTGTCAACAATGGCTCTGCAGAACATTTTGCGCCTTACTCCCAATCTCTGACCACTGGTGTCAACATTATAGTAGGCTCAGTATGCTTATATGAAGTGCCAAAGTTGCTTACTTGGCAGTGAGTGCATTAGAAGATAGGCAAGTGCTTCCTTTTCTTGTATTCTCATGATACATACATGAAAAATGTTAGAGATCCCAACTCTCTCTCTCTCTCTCTCTCACACACACACACACACACAAAGGATTGCATATGCTAATCCATCCACTAATTTATCTTTAAATTCTTTTTCTCTTCTTGATAACATTTCTCCATCCAAGAGGCATGGGGATTGGCTTCTAGTTCAATTGGCTCATTCTGATGGATCTTGAGGTCAGACAACTTGATGGTGGTCATCCTGTCTAGCTTTGGAGTTGATGGGGATTGGATTTTGGAATGATCTTTTGTGTTGTCTCCTCATCACTATTTTTCTTGTTTTCATTTTTTGTTGTATTTGGTTGGTCTGGTGATTTGTTTTCATGATGGCTCTCTTTTTTCTTTGGGGGTTCTTTTGTATTTTACTTTATCTTTTTTTTTCCTTTTAATAAAGTTTTAATGTTACTATAAAAAAATCGCCATTATCCATCTGAAAGTAGTTCCTTTGGGCTTGGTTGTAATTGGTATTACCCTTGTTCTTTGATGTGATTGTATTTATTTTGGGAGAGCTAAGAGATTTTATCTCTTCTAGTCTTTGGAATTGGCTTTGTTCTTAATAAAGCTATCTTTATTGATAAAAAAGGGTCCCATCCACTACTACAGATTTATTGGCACTCTAGCATAGTTCAGATTGGGCTTTGTAGGCCATTAAGCATGTCTAATCCTGGTGTTCTTTCAGGTTCACTTTCCATGTGAAGGTTCATCCTCCTCATCATCATCTAAGCATTGTCCCAACTATATGGGGTCTGTTGGATGAATCTTGTTTTGCCATTCCGTTATATTTAGTGCCATAGTCATTGTTAAATTATGAGCTCAGAGCACTAAAAATCATTTCTTACTACTTCAGTCCATGTCCTTTTTAGTGTGCCCCTAGCCCTTCTAGCCCCTTCAACTTCCAGCCCATTGTTTCTCCTTATAGGTGTTGTAGATGTTTTTCTATGCATGCGGCCAAACCATCTTAGCCTTCTTTCTCTCATTTTATCACCTATTGGAGCCAAGGATCAAAGTATCGATACAATTCATTCTTTCTGGAATTTTCATTGGACGTTTTCTACCCTTTTGTCTAAGCATACAGTGGGCATATATGTTCTTTACTCTCACTCCAGAAGCTATCCACTTATAACCGTTCAGAAACTGCTTATAACTGTTCAAATACTGCCCATGAATTATAAATAATTTTGTCATAGAGATACTGCCATGTGCAAATGTACGTACACAGTTACTAGTATATATATATAATTATACTCAAAACTAAAATTAGAAAAAAAAACTAAAAAACAAAATAAAAAGCGCATCATTTAAAGTACCAATACACAGAGGTGTATCGGTACTTTGAACCATGGTTGGAGCTACTCCTGGGTTCCTTTGAACGACTTCATTTCTGACCCTGCCCTTTATAGTTTTTCCACTCAACCATCTCAGCGTACGAATTTCTGCCACACTGATTTTTTGGACATGTTTCTTAACTGCTCAATACTCCATTCAGAATTTCTGGCCTTGCAACTGTTTTATAGAATTTCCCTTTTGACCTAAGTGGTATTCACCACTTCCCATGTGAAAGGTTATGAGACCCTTAATATGGATGTATTTTTGTTCAAAATTTTAATGTCTACAGTTCTAACATAAACAACCCTGTATTCCCGTAAATAAAACATGTAACTAGCATAGCGCTTTTGTTTGGAGACTAGTTGGTTGTTGTCTCTCTTTATTTTCACTAATAAATCTTATATCTTTTACTAGTCACAAAGAACAAAATAAACTAAATCATTCTGCTATGCCATGTCAAGTTTTTGAAAACTTTTTATGTGTTTTTTGTCTTTTAAAAATTTGTGACTTGCAGGTTCTTTGTCATAATTTTTATGTCATTTTTAACAAAAATTTACTGTGTACAGTTCTACAATGTACAACCCCTTGAATAAATAATGCATCTTATAATTCCCTAGACTTTACTGTCCTATCACCCTTGCATGACTAAATCAATTCAGTCAATCCAGCTTAAATTGGAATTGGGATTTAGTAATGGGCTGAGAGATGTATAAAGTGAGGAAACCATCATGTCAACTCCATTATATTTTGTAGAATGTATAGGAAGAGAGAAAGGCTAGTGTTCCAGAACAAAGAAAATCAGAGAAAATACTCCGAATCAGTTTCTATTCAGGTCATCTGCTAAGTCTGGACACCAGGGTCTTTTGTTGGCATCACTGTGGATGCAATATTGAGGGCCATAGAGAGATCAGCAAGAGATAAAATAAACTAGACATGATTTTCCCCTATAGGGAATACCATGAAGCTTAACTTCAGATGTTCATTGGGGAACTCTGGTCCTTTTGATATAGATAATGTATTGTGGAGAGAAACTGGGGGTGCAGCTTTTTTTGCATATTCTAGTCCTGTGGGTTCTGGGGGTTCAGCAAGACTAGATGATATTCTACTTGTCTCATTAAATTTGTACTAATATTACCTTAAAAACCTTATTTTCAATGAGGATTAGGCAGCCCTGTTTTGGTCATGGAAAACAATGGGGTTTTAACATTTTGATCCATTCAGTAGGGATACTGTTCCTTCTTTCACCCGTATGGCATTGGCAGGGCTCCAACACCTCCAGAAACAGCACTTTTTATGGGAGGTGGACTGGAAAATCATACTCAGAAGTTGATTTTTTAAACTAAGACTAAAACCAATATTTCTGCTGAGTTTTTTTTTTTTCTTATTTTTATTTTTCATGGTACTTGGAAAAACTTTCCTGGTTGAAGTTTTCATCAACCAAGCATGAGAACATGGGTTCAAGAGTGACCACTTTGTGCAAGAAAATGATGTCAGTTAGGTCCGTATCCAGTCCTCCCCTCCCAAGACCCTGAATGGTCAGGACCAAATAATGCATAAGCCACACTGAAAGAAAAATCATGGATGTGGTTGTAGTGTATATTTACAATCCTTGATAAAAATTAAAATTATCTTTTATAGTAACTTTTGGACTTATTACTTACAGCAGCTTTAGTTGTTATTTATAGTAAAATTGTGATTTACCATTTTTAATAATTCCTGGTTTCATTAGATCAAGTTAGTTCTTCTTATTTGCTTGGAAGAGTGTCTGAGATTAGAAGATTCACTGGCCTATTTTCCTTTAGGCTCGGAAGGAGTACAAATACAAATATGTAGAGTGCTTATGTTCTACAAATTTTATTGCTTCTCCTTTGCCGACCATGTTCAACCCAGTTGGACTTTTCTCTATCATGTCCAACATCACCAACCATTATATAATAGCCCTCTTTGGTAACTTTTAATTATTTCAACCAAAATTTTAAATTCATAGCTTGAGAATGCTCTTTCCAAAATAAAAAAAAAGAACCAAATTAAAAAGTTTTAGAAATTTTGAATGAGCACAAATATGTCTGTCTCTGTTAACATGAACTCTTTACACAAACAAATATTAGAATAGGAAAAAGCACTATATGAAATCAAGGATCAGATGGGCATTTGAGTTGTTCAAAATTTCATGAGTTCTGACATGCTTTTTAATCATTTTTGTTCTTTTCCTCCTGCAGACAAAGTTTTTCAAAGCCAAGCTATATACAGTCCGTAGGTGCTTAACATATTCATGCAATCACAGCCACAGAACCTCTCAAATATGTTCAATAAATATAGCAACTATGGCACAGTTCAGTGACCCAAGCAAGCTGAGGGTGCATATGGATAAGCTTGGTGAGAAGATTTGGGAAGCCCTACCTGAGCCAGTTAAAGAGTTTCCTTGGAGAAGAGCAGAAGATATTGTTATTCAGCAGTTGCTTTTACTTGGAAAGAAGGCACTTAAGTGGTCTCTAATTACAGCCTTCGTCCTTAGCTCACTATCAGATATCATATTTTCCATTTCAAGAAACAGAGAATTGCTGATTCCTATAGGTCTTTCTGTTGGATGCATGATGGCTGAATTCTTGAAGGAGACTTCTGGGGAATTGTTTCAAGAAGCAAAGGTATGCTTTCATCTTGTTTCTAATTGGCTCTCATTTCTTTGTTTTTTTTTTTGTTAACCATTTTTTTGTTGGGTTATTGATTGTTTCTAGTTTATTTTGTTGATGGTTGACAGAAAGGAGATTTGGCATGGCAGCTTCTGGGCATTGGTTCTTTTTTCGTTCTTGTTAAGTTAATTTCTGTATATTTCATGCAAGAACGGGCATTCTTGTCCCATGTTGGAAATGGTGGGTTCATGCATGTTCTTTGGTTGTGGAATAAAAATCTAAGAGGAAGAAATGGTGATGATGAAAATTCAATTCATCAAGATGCTTCCATTGCTACTGATGTACTTGGTTAAATTACAACGATGCTGTTGGATGGTTAGGAGAGATTTGTCTCTGATTAAAGCTTTGACACGCTTTGGCTATGACAAACTTGTCTCACTATTTTTAAATGGTTAAGTTAGACGCAAATAGCAATCATGGTTAAGTTAGATGCTCATGACAATTATGGTTGCTAGATCTGTATTGTCTTTTTCTGTATCTTGTCAACTAAAATGGAGCTTCTGCAAAACTGAAGGATCACTCAAATGTTATTTGTACATTTAGGGTGAATCCAACTGCTCGATTTGTCTTCATTCCATGCTGCTCGATATATTTTCCCTTTATATGCTGCTTCAGGTTCATTCGGAACTATTGGAATGAAATCATTTCACTATTCTTTTTGCGGCACTTGAGCAGAAATGATCATTTCTAGTAGCATCACATTCCTTGACGACCCTACAATGACCTTGTGTTAAATAGACTAATGCGGCAATGGACAGGGAGCAAGTTGAAAGGTTTTCAGGACTGGGATTGAGCTCTAAAAACCGGTATGAAAGCACTCGTATCAAACCAAAGATGAGCTGTTACCTTACCCACTACACCAATCATTTGGATACGATGGCTGAGTACTTATTGCAGAAATCACTTTGTTCTACATAGGCTTCTTGTGAAACTGCTCTTTTCAAATAAATTTGTACAGATCTAAGGCTGCATTTGATTGCACGCAAAAATGATCATATAAAAACAAATTTTTCAAAGGTGAGTGGTGATTGTGGGAAAATGGCATTCCATCTTGGCTACACTTTTAGAAAAACAATATATTTTGCTTCACCTCTTGCAAGCTACATAGGAATGGTAGTCCTTACCTCGTTTTGCCTATATCAATTCCTTAGTTTTATGTAGTGAAAGTACTATATGCTCATTTCTTTGTGGCCATGCTCCCCCTATTCCTGATGTTTCTTTATCTAAACCTAGACTTGCTGTGTCTCTTATTTTCTATCAAGCCAACATAGCCTAAAGTTGCAACTTCTTTGAACTCTGGTTATGGGAAAAAAAAAAGATAGATACTCCTGTACTTTCTGAATCTCTTATAGATTTTTTGGTAGAACTCCAAAATTCTTAGGTGATGTGGAAAGGCAGAGTGAAATTGAGTCTCTGGCTTAGATTATTTTGGCTTTTTTATATTCTTTTGGGTTTGTATATATTGATATGACATGGCTAATACATGGTGTATGACCGTATAATATTGGACTTTCAAGGGGCTGGAACAAGGCAAGGGTTGTATTCACAAACCACAAGGACAATGACGTGGCAATTGTTTTATGTTTTATTAAAGAAAATCATGGATATTGGCGATCACCCCCAAAATGGTGACATGATTGAATAGAGTTAGTTGTACACACTACAGGAGGGGGTTCTAAACTTCCAATGCATCATCACGCTTTGGCTACCTTTTGGCATTTTTACTTTTTTAGAGAGCAATACAAATACGTTTAGTGTCCAGTTTGGCATTTAGCATTGCATGATCAAAGTGCTGGGGGCTTGGAGTATCCAACACAACTTTTCTTTCGCATACATGGACCCGTATGATTGAGACAATCCAACAGATGCATTCATGCATTCTTGAGTTTGTCTATAATAGTACTGTTACATCTAATGGTTGTCACTCTCCCAAGTACTAACAAAAAAGATGATTGTTGATCATACATATATATATATAKAGAGAGAGAGAGAGAGAGTTGTGACCACAAGGGCTCCATGCTTATAATTTTTTTTTTCTTTTTTTTATCAAGTCATAGAGTATATAACACAAATGTTGGAGAAAATGAATATTCCCATTAAAATGCTTTTGCCATCATCTTAGTCTGTCCAATTTGTGAATTAATTGATGTAAGTTAGAAGTTCAATTTTGAATAATCCTGCCATTGTCACCCTATAAATTATAAACTTACAGTTTCAAGGGTAAGCTAAGAGAATTCCAAAATCTAGAGTTCAGTAAAATTGGTAATGAGAAACGCAATGTAGAGCCAATGGTGCCAGATCACGATTCCCCTTTCTCTCTCATGTTTCACTCAAAGCTTTTGTCCCACCAATTTGATGAAATTTTACATACCCCTCCCAGTCGAAAAAGTGAAAAAAAAAAAATAAAAAGAAGAAAAAAAAAACAAAAGAAAAGGAAAACATAGATGCTTTGTACTAGCTCCATGACAACAATGTACATGTCTACATATTTACACACCTAACTTCTTTGTTCATTAATTATTTATGCAACTAAGCCAATAGTCCTTTGTATCTTATAAAAAATCATCAAAATTTGTTTTTTTTCTTAGGCCTAGTTCATTTTTTGGGAAATCATTTATCTGGATAAATACACTTATCCAGGAAAATGTTTCCTAAGAAACACTTAATTACTCAGGTAAGTGCACTTAATGGCATTCTTTCGTTTCTTAGGTAAAGTTAAACAATACTTGTTTATCCATAAAAGTGTCATTATTGAAGGGCAATGTTATCCCATCACATGTTTACAATTTTTCCTATCAACAGGAAAATCATTTACCCCTAAAGAATGCATGCGTTTCAAAAACGTCCCACAGCACATCCAACCATGTATTGCAAACATCTCCCAATGACTATGAGGATCTCATCATTTACGATGTAGAAGGTATATACGAATGGTTTGTAATTAATCTGTACGAGTGGTTTATGATTAATCTGTACATGTCTTTTGACTTTTGCAAAAGCAAGTTCAATAAATACCTCCAAAGGAGAAAAACTCATACAGCACAGGCAAGTATTTTATTAGTTACTAGAAAAATAGCTACAAATAATTAACTTATATAAGTTTTTGTACAAAAATTATGCTCTTTTTAATTACAACTTTTTTTATCATCAATTTCTTTAATTACAACTTGAGTTCTTATGTCTCACTAGCCTAAGAAAAATAGCAATTTCTTTAATTACAACTTTTTTTTTATCAGCTTAAGGCATGAATAACTGTATTTTTCAGTCCATCAAAACTTCAAAGCTAACAGTAGAACATAAAAAATTTTGTTTATTCCCTGAATAAGTCTTCAAGCTGGTATTGGTTTGTTCAAAGACAATAAAAGCCCGAGCAAAAGGAAAAGGAAAAAAACAACATAGATGACAACCCAAACCAGATGGAGTAAGATGCAGGATGGATGGTAGTATGCAATGGTGGTACTGCTCTGTGTGTGTGTGTGAATGATGGCTTGGTTTCTTCAACTTCTTTCAAGTGGCAATAACTGATTAGCTTCTCTACTAGACCCAATCAGAAAACCTAATATCATCTTCTTTCAAGTGGCTTGGTTTCTTCAACTTCAACTTCTTTCGCCTTTTGGTTCTGTTTAAATCAGAAAATCTAACATGCCCATCAACAAAGAAATAACTGACTGTGATATCGATGTTTTAGTAAATTAATGAATGGCTATTTCCTTCAAACTCCAAGAATAATAAATCACTGAAGAAAACTTTAGAGTATTATGTTCATAAACAAATTAATTAAGAACTGATGATCTAACTGAACTTCCTCTAATTGGAATTAGGATTCATGAACTTCTATTTCCGATGCATTTGCTTTAGAGTCCGGATCACCTTCCAATAAAATACATACCTATACTCTAACAATATCATCTGACACCATACATCTCATGCATATATAATAGGTCCCACTTTTGTGATGGAAAGGCCTACAATTTTATAGTGAGATGTGTAGCGTAAGATCAAATTCGTTGGGTGTTTCAACTTGTTTTGTTGGCGGGAGATTCCAATTCTTTGCATCACATTTGATCACATATGGCATCACACGTGACTGGTTTTTTCAAAAATTCTAAAAATACCTCATAGAATCTTTCAAAATTTCTATGATCCGGATAAGCCAAAGTGCTCTTGGTTGCAGCGAAGCCCCACATCGTCATCGCTTCAATATCAATCTCCTCCCAGTGACTGTCATTGGTCATCACTATGAGCTTTGCAGGATCATAGTGATACAAATCTGCTGCTGACTGAAGAAAATGGAGAAGGCGATACAGAGAGAGAGAGAGAGGAGCAGCAGAAGAAGAAGGGGATCAAGAGAGGGAGAGAAGAGAGAGAAGGAATGAGAGAGAAAAAAAGAGATCTATAGTTTTATACAGATTTGCCACTGACTTAAGAAAAGGGAGAAGGCGATACAGATCTGGTTGCAGCGCGCGCGCGCGAGAGAGAGAGAGGTTGTTGCAGAATTGAATTGCTGGTAGAACTTGAAAATCACCGATGATGTCTTCTGTTGAACCTGGAGTCTGAGTTTTCTGAGTGATGGACAAAATATTCTTTTTATCCTTCCATTAATGGACAATGATGGTAAAGAAGATTTATCCAATTGTCAGAAGCAATAAGAATACTTTAAAACAATAATAAAATAGTAGAGGTATAGTTAATCAATTTCTTAAACCTTAAGGATAGTTTAAGAAATTTGTCCTATTTAAAAAGACTGAAATTTATGTACCTAGATCAAATTTATTAATATCCCTCGAGAAAAATGGAAGTTCGGTACTATAAACTCGTCTTTCCTTACCTGGATTGAATTCTTTCATGCTAAATAACTAAAATTGGATTTCTTTTCTGTTCTTCAAGAAAGCAAAATTTAGAGTTAGATCTCAAATAGATCTAAATCTAAAAGCTTCTAGAAAGCCATTAATACATAAAAACGTGTTCAATAATTCAACAGTTTTAGGTGTATATAGAATGTGTACTAACTTTTATGGTGCCAAGCTATCAACAGATCAAATTTATTAATTTCTTTTATGTTTTTTATCTTTTTTTATACATAAGGTAACCCTTAGATAATATTAAAATTTACAATGATGTCCATCTAGACTTGGGGAGTCGTCTAAAGACTTCAAACAAAATAACTCGCCTACATAAGTTTAGGTCCTTTTTGGCAATGTTTCGTGAGAGCGTTTCTTCTTTTTCCGGTGTTGTCGAGAAAGAGAAATGCGTTTAGAAAAAAAACAAAAGAAACGAATTATTCTTGCGTGAGAACAATACATAAAAACGTGTTCTTTGGGAGTGTGACAAATTGACACTCTCAAAGAACGCACTCTCTAGAATGCGCGGTTCCCACAACATGCATGTCTAATAACGAACATGTGTGGGATGTTCTCATGTGAGAAAAGGGGTGCTATACAAAAATATAAACTCAAGCTCTATGTAACAGTCATCATTCATTCAACCACTACTGCTGCACAACCCGGCGGAAGAGATCTGAACTCTTGTTGCATCAATAATTGGACGACGATCAACAAAAACATATATCCGGTGAGGCAGCCAAAGGGGTCGCTGGAACTAA